TCTCATGTGAGTTGAAGAAAGGAAAACTGGAATATAGCGGGGTGACCACATACTTGGGAGGATCCACCCATATGAGCCACCTGTCAACTCTGAGCTTGGTTAGAAAAGCTTTGTTCACTGAGCAGTAATGCCAGCCTTGGCCCCTTCCAATAGAAGCCTGCCTGAGGCACAGTCAAGGAGCAAAGATGCTTCTACAGCCAAAGTACCTGTAAATACATTTGCATATTTTGGATTGAGAAGGGAATAATATATAATATAATATGTGGCTTTTATTTTCCTTTTTTGTAGCCCGTTTCAGCGTATGCTGCTAAGGCCAGGTCGCCTCCTAGGAGGAGAACAGAGAGGAGCGTGACAGGCTGACGTTAATTGTGGCAGCAGTGTGTTCACCTCATTTCCTGGAAATCTCTGGAAGGAGCCAGGAGAATAACATGCTGCATTGATTTTATATTGCTGCATAACAAATCACCCCCAAATTTAGTAGATTAAAATATTTACTCATAGATCTGTAAGCCAAAAATTTGGAATAGTTTTAGCGAGGCAGATCTCATGCCGGTCTGTTATGCTAGTCACTCACAGGGCTGCAGTCATCTAGTGGCTGGAATGTGGCTGGTCAGTCTAAAAAGGGTCATCGGGGGAAAAAAATAAAAATAAAAAAATAAAAAGGGTCATCGGTTGAGATTAGCTGCCAGCTGAGCAGCGTGTCTGTTAGGCTTTTTGGGGCTTCTTCGCATGGTGGCTAGGTTCCAAACACAGCAGGAGACATGATTTATATAAGGGTGATCTTTACAGTAACAATTTACAGTAGGCAGGTATTTGAAAGACAGTAAATAGGTTCAACTTCAGGTGTTAGAGTTCTGCAGTTATCTTCCCAGGGATTTTGTCACATGGAATGCAGCTCACACAGCGTTCCACAGTGCTTCCAACTTTGCTGGTGACTCCTCCAGCAGCAAAACTCGCTGATGAGAAACGAAATCTTAACTAGGGTAGGTGTCCCTGTTCCACGTTTAATAAAAGAGTGGAATTATGCACGTATGTAGATAAGCTAATCATCTGACCTAATCAGCAATGCAAATTTTAAAAAGTCTTCCTAATTACTTCCTCAACTTGGCTGAAAGTATGGGTAAAGAGAGTTTCTCAGCATGATGGTAGCAGATGTATTTCATAATATTGATTGAAAATATTGGAAAGAAATCCTCAATTATAATGTTCCTGAAAAGTACATCAGAAAAGATATCATATTTAACATATTTTAAACTTTCAGTGAGATATAAACATAACATAATTTGGATGATCAACTCTCATACTAGTTGTTTGGAGCCTTTTATAAGGCGGCCTTTAACTTGCAGAGTCAGATTGCTTATTGGTTAACTGCCCATATCTTCCTTGAGTTGCATGTATTATCTATGAGAGCTCTAATTGTCTTGGACAAAGTGGGACCGCCAGAATACTCCCTTTTCTTTAGCTATTTGTTAATTTAGTATCTTGGCAAAGGAGTCTCAGTGCATGATGTTTCAACAACTTTAAATGTTAAATTGTTGACATTTACAGGCATATGCAACACCACACAATATGTGGTTTGGAATCCTAGATAGATCTGTTACTCATTTTCTTGGCTGAATTTGAGTAGCTATGAACGATTGTTAAATGACTCATTTTGTAACAGCATTGCCCAAAAGAAATTATCTGTGAATTCCTGATCGAAATGGCTGTATTATCCCTGTGTCCTGTGCTCTGTGACTACTGGTTGTTCATTACCTACTGTGAGCTGCTTAATATCTTTCCTGTACATTCTCTTTAAGTTAGCTTGCGCCAGTTTCTGTGGCCTACAGCCAAGATAAATCCAAAATGATACGGTGCCTTTAGTGCCTGTGGAGTGGCTGAGTGCTTCAGCAGCTCTGTTATCCGACGCTTGTGGAACTGGTTCTTTTCTTCTCCGAAGAGTTTCTCTAACGCCCCTCTTCTAGGAAATCTTCTCCAGAGATCAGATGGAAAATAGTCTTTTTGTCCCCCCCATGTGTGGTACAAAGAAAACATTCAAAAACTCTTTCATGAAGATCGCTGTATAATTCCTGGCAGCTGAGGAAGTGAATGCTGTATTTGAGGAATTGGTGAGGGCCGAGTCACATGACAGTGAATCGTTTTATTTGAGGGCCAGAAAATATGGATAATCCAATATATTATTTAATTTCTTTGCTAGTGAATGAAACTAGAACATAGTTATGCGGTTGAAAGTCGCAAGATGCAATACCATTCGATATCCAAACTCTCAAATCTCTAGATCAGAGTTTCTCGGCCTGGCATAATTGACATTTTAGACTGATTAATTTTTTGTCATGGGAGGACTGACTGTGCTGTGTATTATAGGATGTCTAGTAATATTCTTGGCTTCTGATGCCAGTAACATCTTCCTCCCCCCATGTTGTGACAAATCAGAATGTCTCCAGACATTGCCAGATGTCTCTTGGGGGACAAATTTGCCCTTGTTTGAGGACCACTGGTTCAGGTTATTTGAGCTATTTTTTCTTTAATTTAACCAACAATTACCAGGCACTTTTGTTGTTCAAAGTATATTTTAATATGTTTACACTTTCAGGCAGAATGTATGGTATGGCAAACACACCAGTGCACCAGTTTTAACATATACAAGTTCCTTCCTAACCAAGTTTAGTTACACGTATGTCGAAACTCTCTAGGTATAGTTTTTCTATCCATATTGTAAATGTTAGGTGGACTGATAAGAAATTGTCTCTTTCTGGAGGAAAAAAAAATAGTGAAATACCAGCATTCCCCTGACGTTCTACCTAATGCATGGTGTACAGTAAGAAAAAGCAAATTTTTTTTTTGAGAAAAACCCGTGTTATCGTAACCATGATTTTAAGTGCATTTGCTTTCCTTTGCAAGCAGTGGTGGTTTTAGAAATGTTATATAGACAGGTTTAAGGAGCAGTGACCAGACGAGCTAGCTGGGGTTGATTGATTGAAGTCATGTATTTTAACAAAGCAATTGTAAGTTAGTACAGTACTTTGCATTTGGAAGGTGTGTGTATTTTGTGCTTGAGGTGAGAGCTGATGGAAATCGTAGGCAGTGGTTGCTAAAGCTGTTCATAGAGATAAGGAGGTGGAAATGAAATCTTAATTTTTAAAAATATTTGTTAACATACGAAGTGTTGACTATAATCCTCGATTTGAAAGGATCTGATGATCCTGGTCAACAGGTCAAATCATCAGGCTGTTTCTTGCTTTGGCAGGTTCACAGTGGGAGGAGAAACATATCCGAACATGCTTTTTTGAAAAATGAATTCAAAATGGAGACGAAGAGTACTTTCAGCACATATAAACACTAATTAAAATGCTATTACTTCTGTCATTTTTCTACTCTTAGATTTCCACTTTCAGCAGTAATGAACTGCAAGATGATCACTCACTGAAGTATGAAAAATACCTAGAACTTTGAGTCTTGTGAACCTTATTCTTCTTTAAGCTTTCTATGAGGGCTGTAAGCAAAAGCAGTGAGTGTCTGGGACTCTGGTAGCAGGACCAAGGAGAAGCCAGAGAGTCCAGCATTAACTCATGAGCTATCTAATCAGCTTCCGACTGCTCAAGAGCTGGTAATGTTGTGGATTTTATAGTTTCTATTCTATAATCGTACCCTGAAACTATTAAGAGCTGATGGAGGTTTCGCAAATGAGACGAACAAGAGAGAAGAGTCAGCAAATGCTCAGTACACAAAATACATCGCTTTCACTAATTCCTGGGATTTCTAGAGAATGCTTTGTGTGTGTGACACACAGAAGAGACCTTCCATGCTTGATGTTGGTCCAGGACAAGGTTAACTTTCTGCACACTAATTTTAATTCATATATATGCCTTTTTTTCCCAGCACAAATGGACCCCCGAGGCCTATCTCCCAGACAAAGTAAAAGTGACAGTGATGATGATGACCTGCCAAATGTGACCTTAGATAGCGTTAATGAAACTGGATCTACGGCCCTTTCCATAGCCAGAGCAGTACAAGAGTAAGTATCACATTCTCAGGATGAAATAAGAATTGCCAAGGTATTCAATGGATAATGGAAACAGCAGCATCTCCTGTTCCCCAGACATGTCATTCTAGCCCTGAACTGGCACATGTGCCAGCATCTTTTATTCAGCCTTCTGTTCTTGGGAGGAGATTAGGGGAAAGCCTAAAGTGTTTTACATAGTTGAACATTTGTGTTTTGATTAGAAATAAGACTTCTATGCATCTTTTTCCACTACCCTCTACCCCTTCTCCTTAACTCTGAAAAAAAAAAAAGAATTATTCTTTTTGAATGTCACTATCCATTTATCATCATCATTATTATTCATATATAACAGTCAAAAGAAATAAAATATAGCAAGTATTATTATCTTGTTTTAATAGGAAAGTACAAAATAGCCTTTTTGAAATTTTAAATATAGAAAATAATACGTTACCTCCTTGAAAAATCAGAATCATATGTAATTTTTAAAAGGATCTTTTCTCTTTCCTTTTATCTGGACCATAGGGTTAGATCTTAGCCCTTATTTATTGAAAATAGCTGTTTTTTGTATCATCGTCAATTCTGTATTTAGAATTGAACCTATGTCTCACCATCTATATTTTTTCTCTAGAATAATTTATAATATGATTTTGGAGAAGAGAAGGATTTAAATAGCCACCGTTACTGCTGACACACACATTAATTAACAGTTTACTCAAAATTATCTTACTTTCCATATATTAATTCCTTTTCCCAAATATTGACTAAGTACAGACTCTGTTCCATGCATTAAGCTTTAAAAAAAAAAATAGGAAAACATTTTAGAATTTAAAGTATATGTGTGTGTATAATACAAATAATATATCTCTGTGTAATGTGTATTATATATTTACATTACATGTATATATGTATACACACAAATATATATGATATATTAGAGGGCATCAGAATATAGTGGATCTCAAATAAAATTTGGAGTCTGACCTGGATTCAAATTTACATTCAACCTCTTGAAAGCTGTGTGATTTTAGCAAGTTATTTAACCACTGAGATGTTGCTTCATCTGTAGTAAGAAAACCAGACTACTTAGCTTACAGGACTCTTGTGGGAGTGTGGAGTAGTTACAGAGCATAAAAACCAAATCCCAAAGTGTGAGCACGTAGAAGGCTACTTAGTGGTGGAAGTAGTATTATAATTAATGATAGGAGAGTAGTGTAGAGTAGAAATATATGACCACTAGCAAATACAAATGTCACAAATATCATTACTCTAGTGGTCCAGATGAAGACACTGAGGATCAAAGAAGTTAAATGGCTTGTCCCAAGTCAGATAATAAATGAGAACAAGACAAAGTTTTGGACTTCTAACTCCAAAAGTTGAGTTTTCTCTAAGAGTGCCTGTAATGTCTATTTCCAATAAAATCTTCCACTTGAACAATTTACAAAAACATTATTTTAAATTTGTTCAAATAGCTAGTAACTTAGTTTATCCAAACCAAACGTTAACTTGAACCAAGATAGAGATTGAATCAAAGAGGGTGCTGAAATTGTATTTAAAGTGGTTACATGCCAAGTGACCTCGTGGCTGGTTCAGTGATCGCCACAGTGATCATGGATTTGTGTGAGCTAAAGCTTAAGGTCAAGGACTCCATGTTCTCTGTAAAATTAGGCTAAATAATGATAAGTTTCAATTCTGAAATGAATAATAAGTTTCATAGACATTTTAATCACATTGTTTTCCTACGTCATATACATAGTGTTTGTATGTATATGTGTTTATAGATATGTGTGTTTCTTAATTCAAACTTTCAAGTTTGGAACTGTGATTTCTAAAATCTAAATTCTGCTCACTCCATTTGGGGCTTATATAGCAAGTAATGGTATTAACTTCTTAAACGTAACCATGTTTTGTGCTTTTAGTATTTTGTGTTTATAATAGTATATATTAATGTGAAACTTTTAATAACAGCCTCAGAAACCGAAGCTTCATTTTCAGCATAACCTCTCTGATTTACTCTGTGAAAACATTTTCAAGCCACAATATTTTCTATAACTGTGCGTATGCCTGCCTTTATTACTATTGCAAAAGTTGTATGGGTGCCTAGGGAAATGCCAGATTCATTATTCATGTAAGTGTTTTCATTAAACGATTAGTAAGGAATACTGAGCTGTCACCTGGGAAGCCCTAGAATGCCAGGACCCATGAATAGTTAATTAACCATCATTCAAGACAGAGTATGCGTGTGTAAACACTGGGAAGTGCAAAGATACTGTTAGATGAAGCAAAAAGAATGTTTATATTTAAAGAATATACCTATAATTAAGAGACTTCTTTTTTTATAATTAAGAGACTCAATTATAGGTATATTTCAAAATTTACAATAAGATATTGAGAAAATTTTATGCTTGGACAAATAAATGTATAATCCTTGTTAGAGAATTAAAAAATAAAAACTGTGCCTAGGTTTACCCAAAGTTAACTTTCAGTGTATGCAATTGTAAACGTGTCTTTCTGCTCTTCTCCTATTCTTTAATTTAATGCATATCTTTGTTTCATTATTAATTTCTCTTCTTCTCTATGCCTTTGGATCTTGATGTCATCTATTAACTCACAAGCTGTCAAGCAAACTTAAAAAAACATTCTAGTATACTGTGATCAGTAAAATAATGCATTAAATAGTAAAAGGATAAAACATTAGCTTGGCATGGTCAAGATGAGAGGATTTCAAAAGACATCTGCGGATCTACCTCCTGCCCTTGCAGAACTTCCCTAAGAGCTTGAGAAGAATGTTTGCAGGTAGAGAGGTGACGAAATCGAAGGCTTAATATGTACAGTAGAAGTAGCACATTTTAAAAGACCTGGGCCACCAGTTCACTTCTGTCTTTTCAATTAAAGACAAAAGAAGCCATGGTTTAGGAAGATGTTGAAGGCTGGCCTCTTACGTCATTGGCCACCAGTAGAGTGTCAAAGAAGAGAAGGCGGAAGATGAGAAAGGAGGATATTAAGGAAGACTGACGCTAGAGAGGAAGGAAAGTGCCTTGTCCCAGGCCAGCTCTTAAAACAAGGCGCTTGCCCATAGGGTAAATATCTCCAACTGCAGATCCTTTCTCATTCAGGTTCATAGTCTTGCCTCAGGCAATAATCATTATAGTTTGAATTTTTAATTTGGTATTTACTTTATTGACATATTTATGTAGTAGCTTAAAACTTAATATGCTAATAAATATTTTTCCTAAATGTCTGATGTTGTGCTGGTTTTTAAAATGGACTTTTATTAAATCTTCAGTTTAAGACACGTTCCCTTTGATTTGAAATGCAGAAGTTGTCAAAATTGCATCCCCTCCCACAACAAATGCACACATATTCCTGTCTTTAAATAAAAAAGAACATTGCTTGGTGGCTAGAGCAGCAACCTGAGGTCATCTCGATTTATATAATGTGGCTACTGAACTGTGTTTGGCTGATCATTTCAACCATATTCATTGATTCACTTGAATCCCATTTATCAGCTCAGCATCAGCAAATTCAGACAAATTAGAACTGGCCACACAGAGAGGCCCACAGACAGGCTCTACCTTTTCCTTAATTCAGTTGTAGCGATACTGTCTAAGTCAGAAACCATGTATTCAGTCATTCTGACAAAGCCAACTTCCAGCAATTCATAGAACATCTGTTTTCTTTTGGTCCATTGTGTTTTTTTACCCCCAATGGTAAAATAGGGTCATTACCCATAACAACTTGACAAACATAATTATGAAATAAGTGTTTAGAAAAAGAGAGGTACAGGCATATGATTAGGGCAAATTATTATCATTAACTCTAACCCTAGGCAAAACAATGATATTTTTAAATAGGTAAGGTCTGGCTTTGTCATCTAGAGCCTCTAATTTCTATACCCCCCTTTTTTTCTCTGATTCCAAACATTCATAATCCTCATTTGTTAGTGTGAATAGAATAATCACTTCCTTCAAGTTAAAGTGTAAATGAATCATAATATCTGAAAGAGGGCCCTCCTTAGAGAAATTTCTATTTAACCAGGAACAAACCTTAAACTAAAAAAAAATAATAATAATAAGGATCTATATGTAATACTTTCAGTAAGAGTGAAGTGGGAAAGGTTAGAATGGAGGGCGGGGAATGCAGAAGATGTTAGGAGATATACCTGTGTTTCTCAGTGTCCTTTCAGAATTGGTGAGAGCATGTTACTGTTTAACTCATACCATACTGAGTAGTCTACCGTCTGATTTCGATTATAGCTCTCAGAGGGGAACAAAAGCAACATAAAGTAGTAGAGTCACTTTTTGCTTTGACTACCATCGCTGATATTTGCACCTATTAAAGGGACATCTTTAAATGGTTCATTGTCAATTACATTTAACCTCCGCCTGTTTTTATTACAGTTGACCCTTGAACAACGTGGATTTGAACTGCTCGGGTTCACTTATATGTAGATTTTTTTCAAGAAATACTATACATGTATTTTCTCTTTATGATTTTCTTATTAATAGTTTCTTTTTTTCCAGCTTACTTTATTGTAGGAATACAGTTTATAATACATATTGCATACAAAACATGATAATTGACTTTATACTATCGGTAAGGCTTCTGGTCAGCAGTAGGCTATTAGTAGTTAAGTTTTTGGGGAGTCAGAATTTATACACGGATTTTCAAGTGCACAGGGGTCAGTGCCTCTAATCCTTGCGTTGTTCAAGGGTCAGCTGTATATGACTTATGTGCAGTGGCTCTCTTAGAGAAAAACAATATGAATTTCTGGAAATAAAGAGTATTATCTTTTGTAAACTCTCACTTTAAATGCTTTGAAAAAACAGATATGGTTGCAAGTTAAGATATGCCATTGTTTCCTTCAAACTTTGTTGCTAGTTTAGATATCATGGTTCTTATTTTAGAAAATTGCATTTAATGATCAAAGAAGGTCAGAAATCTTGTGGTGGGTGGGTGTTGCTTTTTTTCCTTTATTTTTCTCGTTCTAAACTTGGCCACTCATCCTGTTTCTCTGTTTCCTCATGTGTAATTGTGTTAATGTCTTCTAAGTTACAGTAGAGAACACTGCTAGAGATGAAGAAAGAGGAAGCAAAAGAACTGTTACTCAGAGCCTACTTTGGGGCAGATCTATGAAAACTCATATCGTTTTCATTTAATTAACCCTGTGATCCTGTTTTTATCCAAAAGATAAAGGAATGGTGGCTCAGGTTTACTCTGTCCCCGGAGCTGGTAATTGACAGAGCTCATATTCAAATCCAAGTTTGTCACTCTATAAACTCCTATTCCTTTATGAAGGTTGTTCCTGTTTTTATGCTGTGGCTTTAAAATCTCCAAACCATAATAACTATCTAAAACAAGCAAAGCTTTTTGATTCTGAAAAGTAAGAATACAACTTTTATAAAATAATTTCAGAAATTTTTATTTTTAATCTCGTTGTTACTTTAAATATAATCTGATTTAAGAGGAAATAATTCTTTCAAATGCCTTCTTAGAAAAAAAAATTTAAGAGGTATTTCACTTCTATAAATCACAACAGATTAAACCCAACTGAGTTGGCATTTTAAATATAAGCCTATTTTAAATTTAAAGAAACACTGCAAATATTATTTTTTATAAATTATATCAAGCACTTTAAACATAATGTGAGAGTGTTAAACATTAATTCTTAATTCAGAATAATGACATTTATAGAATACATCCTGGTGTTGGCCAGTATGAAGTTTAATATTTTATGTAAGCTTAACCTTTAATCCTTCCTAAAAATGAATGATAATGATGCAACTTTAAAAGGTTAAGCAAGTCTTCTATGTGATACTCCAGATAACTTTTTCAAATACAAAATATTTATACCAGCAGGGAAGTTATAAAAACTTACATAATTTATACTGAAGGGCTTGATTAAACAGATGCCTGTTTACAGATAGATGCAGTTCATCCCAGAAAACTATGCACATACACAGAAACACTTAACTGAATACAGGTGCCGCTGTTTTACAGTTACATAGCAAACTGCAGGTTTATATTGAAATGTGAGGAAATAAAAAGCACATATCAGTATAAACGTATGTGTTAACATTCCCAAAGCCAAAAAAATGAGCATACCTTTTAGAATTGCTGTCAGTTTTTAAAAGGAAAAGTTCGTCGAATAGTTGAAATGATACTCTATCATAGTATTTTGTACCCCTAACTGAAATGTCTGAGAGTATTTGGGTCATGTCTCTTCCCTTATCTGCTGATGAGAATAAACCAAACAGAGTTGATTTTGCCCAGAGAAGACACCAGAGAGCTCAGTATGTCATGATTTCAGCTTTTGCTCCTAGATCCTTCCCAGATTCGTGTTTCATTAAAATAAGCTATATCTTTCTTTATTAACCCTAACATGTTTGAGACACCTTCAGATATCCACTTCCTGTCTTAAGCAGAGAAACACCCTTGATTCAGACCTTTAGATGGAAGTCTAGCTCTCTTATAATGACTGTCATGGCTGATATGGGTAAATTTAAGAGACTTCACTCTCTTGCCAGGGAATATAAATACTTTTAGGTTGCTCTTCTTTTGAAGGAAGTCAGAAAAAGCTACTAATACTGCAAATGAATACAAATAAAGCCTAAAGTGTATGCTTAGCCTTCATCAGCCCCAAAGTCTTCCAAGACTAAAATAAAATTAAAAACACTATCTCTGGGTAGTCAGTAGCAAGATGGAGACTGTATACCCACACACAGTCCCTTCTATCTGCCTTGGTGGAGAGTTTTTGTCCTTTTTCAGATTAAAAAAAGTTTGGCCAATAATTTGAGATTATGTTTAAAAATTTTTTAAGTACTAGTAATTTCTTAGATAACTTTGAATATAATGATATTTCTTGTGGTCATATAATACACTTCAAACTGGTTAGAGATATTTGGTTTCAGTTGCTTGATATTCTTCTCCATGCGAGATCTTTTTCTTGCTATATGTTCTACCTATAATCACCTCACAAACTTATGTACACAATTTATATTTCTCATATATTTATTCTTAATGAGTGTTAACTAGTGAGTGTAGGTAGTCATTTCTCATACATTTTTGATGTGTGTTGACATAGATACTACGTGATAATGTTGAAATATTAATGTTTTGCTACAAGTTCCCAGAAGTATTCATCACTATTTCATTTGTTAATATAATCAGAGAGAGTACACATGATTTAAAAAAAAAAAACATAGTGTAATATAGTTGAAATTAACTCAGTTCACAAGGATATAAGCTCTTATTTTCAGTCAGGTGCTCTAGACACTCTTTTTATTACTCTTTGAGTTATAGCCATTGTGCCGATTTTCCTTTATTTTAGAGCACTTTACCGTACACCTGAATCTCACTGAATACATTTACTTACATGCATCAAGTGGAAGTACAAAATTGAAGAATACATTTTCTTGGAGAACCTGCTGCTATCAGTAAAATCTGATTTAGATAGAAAAAAAATAGCTTGGATAGCATGAATCTTATCAGATTGACGTTTTATCATGATATTTTGCCATCTGCTTTCACAATCACATAGCTGAGGGTCACCACCCAGTTGAAATCTAATACATCATTCATTCATTGTGGCTTATCCTAAAAATTAAATCCCAAATTATGTGCAGTTAGTATAGTAAAAATGCCAGTAAATTTTGAGAATATTTCTGATTAATCTGCAAAATTATTAGTATGGGAGAAAATTCTAAACTTTAAATTATAAAATAAAATTCTGCTACACTTTAGTTTTAAAATTATCTGATATATCATCAGTGTTATTTTATCTCTACTTATGGGAAAGCATATCTACTATATAAAAAGTGAACCTTTAACTTAATTTTAAAGTAATTATATCTTCTTGGCTAAATGGTCGTTTTATCAATGCAATTTTAAATATTAGACTAAATCGAATAATATTTCTGGATAGAAATATGTATCTTTTTAAATAATTTGAATAAAATCAGTTCTGTCTACCTATTTACCTACCTACCTTTCTACCCATCTGCCTGTCATTCTAAATATTGGTTTGAAGTTACTTTTAGCTGCATGTAACAATAAATCTTACTAGAGAGCTCAAACATATAATAATTTTTCTAGTATAACGAAGTCTAGCATAGACAGGGCAGGCTGGCGGAGGTGCTCAGAATGTTCCTAAGGTGTTTTTTCTCTTTCTGTTTTGTTGTGCTTCACTTGTGGCTTTCTTTCCAATAGTTTATGAAGTTTGCTGCTGCATCTTCAAGTATCCTGCCCTTATTCAAGTCAGAAGGAAAAGGATAGAAGGAGAACACACTAACTAACCAGAGGAACATACCAGTCAACTGTGTCACTTTTAGAAAGCTTTCCCAGGAACCGTACTCTGACATCTGCTCAGATCTTATTGGCCAGAATTGGTTTTTATGGTCCCAATTATTGGAAATGGCTAAGGAAAAGAAAAATATAGACAAGAACTGAGTCAGTTAAACAATAATATCTGCCACAAAGTTTAAAGTTTAACTTCATATTTAAATATAGGTGTATATGGTACCTCCCCAAAATCCAATACCAAGGTTTTTTTTTTAAATCAGTCATCTATTGCCACTTTAATGCTGTATAGACAGCCCTTTCAAAAATCAGTGGCAGATCATCATAAAACATTTACTTCTCTTCCATGCATCAGCTGAGGCAGGGAGCATTTAGCCAGGAGGTGGTAAAATACAGATCCGATTCCAACGTGGGAAGCCCGAGTCTCTGACCAAAACTTGTGCTCTAGCTCACTCCCCAAAATCCAATACCAAGGTTTTTTTTTTTAAATCAGTCATCTATTGCCACTTTAATGCTGTATAGACAGCCCTTTCAAAAATCAGTGGCAGATCATCATAAAACATTTACTTCTCTTCCATGCATCAGCTGAGGCAGGTCTGCAGGTTGTTGGGGCAGTACTGTTCACGTCTCTCATTTTCTAAACCCAACAGACAACCCAGGGCAAGTATTTCTCATGACAATGGCTGGAGCACAAAAAGGTAAGCCCAGTTTGTACAAACACATTTTAAATCTTTGCTTGTATCAATCTTCTGCCAATATCTCATTGGTCGAAGCAAGTCATGTGACCAAACCCCGTATCAGTGGGGTAGGGAGATATATTCTTCTCATGGTGGTGGGGAGCTTCAGGAGAGTTATGACTAATATACTGTGTTGGAAAAGAAAGGCTGTTTTTGTTTTTTTGTTTTGTTTTGTTTTGTTTTGTAGAAGCAATTGAAGTTAACTAATTTATCTACTTTTAAAATCTAATTTCCTAAGTTTTAGATTTTATTCATGTTCTCATAAAATTTCTAGATGGATATCATAAATTCTTTTCCCTAAATTCACTTAATGATGTATTTTTTTTTTCAAGTCAGTAATATAACTAGTACATTTACTGTGTCTTGGTATTTGAGTTTCAGAGTGCAAATCTTTTTCTCCAGGGTTATACTCTAAGAAATGTTTTATTTCACCAAGTGTTTTTGTATTTCTAAAATACAGAGCCAGACAGGAAGCCAATTCCAGCTAAATAAGCAGAATCTTTGAAATATAGTTATATGTAGTCTCTAAACTTAAATTAACATTGATTAATCTCTTACAGTGCACAAAAACAACAAAAAATAACATCAGCTATTGTGTCCTTCCCCCACAATTTCTGAAATTATGTAGCTATGGGCTACAATAGTGACAAAACACAAATAAAACATAAAATTGAAGCTATGATGCAGATGATTGAAAAAATCTTTTAGCTAAAATTTCATGACATTTTAACAAAAAAGTGTTTTGTTCTTCACTTCTGCAACCATTCTCTGTTTTGTTTTGTATATGTAAGCACTATTACAAATGAAAGAAAATGTGAAATTGATAAGTTTCCATTTTCTAATGCAAATACAGAACTTACTTTAAATTGCACATTTAGTGAAACTTTAATATATGATAGGAAACTGCAAAGAAGAAAATTGACTAGAAAAAATAAATGACTTTTTAAATCAAGAGATTAAAATATCTTCCTGTCATTTTGTATTGGATAGATTAGATTGTGAGGTAAAAATATTAATTTTCACTACAGCTTTTTTATGAGACTTATTATCCAAAAAAAAGTCAGAAGACCAGTAAAGGTTAACAATGTGAGACTATCCAGCAAAATTAGAAATTATTCAAGAAAACAAACAAAACCGTTATTGATTTGAAAGCACGTAATCTCTTTACATACTAAAATCAACCCTGTAATTTAAAATGTATTTATAGCTTTGGCTTTTTACGCTTATACTTTTACCCAAGTTTCCAGGTTGACAGCTGCTTTGAAACAAATGTGGGGTTTCTTAAATTTTGCCATATATATCTTTAAAAGATCAAGATTATACTAGTGTTTGCAAAGGGATTGCATGGTAAATTATTAGTAATAAAAATGAGTAACAGGTTGGTCATGTGCCCCCAAAAATCAAGAAGAATATATCGGAAGTTGTCGAAGGGGTTCAGACACAAGTACCTCTGGGCTTGAGCCAGGGCACCAGTGGTGGCTTTTGAAGAAGTATCAGTAACAGTAACCCTAGGTACTGTATTAAAAATGTAGAGCATTGCAATTATCCATGTATTCTTTTTACATATCTCACGGTGTTCCTTAATATAGTAAAGATCGTACTATCTCATTTTTCATATGAGAAAAATAAGACTTGTGAAAGTTAAGTGTCTTAGCTGGCATCATAGAACTAATAAAGAGTGATGGTAATGGTTCCCAATTAGATGTAATTTTCCACTCCATGTTAAAAGTGCTCTTTCCTGCATTTTGTCTTGAAGGGGAAAGGCATATGATTTATATTTTAAAGAAATAATTGATTGTTCTAGTAATAACTAGAATCTAAAAGATAAGATGGAGGAAGAAGGAAGGGCCATGCCTTTGAACTGAATAATGTAATTGAGAAGAGTAGGTGGAAGAGTTTGGTATAAAGGTAAAAGAGCCAAGTGGAGTTGTCTTAGTGGTATCGGATCTAGAACTGGATCTGATTAGAGAGGACTGGAAATACAGAAAGGGAATCATTGGCATAAAAGCAGTTATCAAGGTTTATTTATATTTTCGAGGTATTATTTATATATAATAAGATACACTTATTTTAAGAGTACAGTTCAAAGGGTGTAGCAATTGTGTATCTCATGTAACTGCTACCCAAATCAAGATACAGAACATTTCCATCACCCAGAAAGTTGCCTCGTGTTCCCCAGCCCACCCTCCCACCCCAGTAAATTCACTGCCTTCTCCCAACCCACAACTAACCACTTTCTGGTCTCTCTCACCAGGAATTAGTTCTGGTCCTTCATTTATAGACTCATATACTATATATTATTTTGTTTCAGTCTTCTTTCTCTTTACGTGATAGTTTTGAGATTCTCTGCATGTTATTGCATTGGCTAAGTAATATTGCACTTTGTGGACATAACATAATTTATCCATTCACCTCTTGATGAACATTTGGGCTCTTTCTAATTTGGGGCTGTTATAATAAGACTGTATGAGTATGCATGTGCAACTCTTCCATGGACATGCTTTCATTGGTCTTAGGTATATACCTAGGAGAGAGGAATTGCTGGGTGAAAGGTAAATGGATTCTTATCTTTATAGGAAACTACCAAACAGCTTTCGAAGTAGTTGTATCCTTTTTCATTCCCACCAGCAGTGTACAGGAGTAGCAATCGCTGCGTCTCCAGCTGCCTTTGGTATCCATTGTCTTTTTATTTTTTTTAAGGCATTCTGATGATTGTTTAATCTTTAAAATAGGATTTATTCAGTCTTGACAGTGAAGAACACGATGCCAAGGACCCAGTTTTGGAGAAAGACATGCGGTAAGGAGGCAGATGAAGGAAGAACAGTTCATCCGCGGGACAGAGTGGCTAAGAGGCATCAAGAAAATAGGGAGGCGTGATTTTCAACCAGGTTCTGACCCTCTGAGATTACAGGGGAGTGAAAAATGAGAAGTCTATGTAATTTAGCAAAAAATGAACCGTAGACAATACAGATTTAGTTGAGTCGTAAAAATGACGTGTAAGCCTGGATGCAGCAGGTTAAAAGGAAGGAATCGTGAGCGCTGAAGGAATAGGAACCTACAGTTTTGCAGAAGCAAATAAAATTTCTAGATGGAATGTGGTTGGGAGAAAGCTGAGAAAAATAAGATGACAACAGCGTGGAATGGTCATTTGTATGGACTAGAGATCCATCTACCCATAGTGAAAAGAATGTTTGAGATAGTTATTCAAATAATTGTGTTTGAGAAGCACTTTAATTACATCTTTGTGTGTATTTGTGTCTATATATAGACACACAAAGTGAACTTATTTATTTGATAATTACCTGGACTAATCAATGTAGGTAGTAATTATAAATTGTTATTCAAAATATACTTATTAAAGGCCCAGTATATGCCAGAAACATTTTTATCTTTTCCTCTCCATTTTCATTCTAGGTACATGTTTGTCTTCTTAGCTGCATGAACTTTGAAATTCTCCTTCCTTCCTCTGATCTCTTAACTTCAAACATGAATAAGTATTTGTAAACTTTAAACCGAGTATCTAGGTTTGGTCTTGATTCATTCTAGTGAGAAAATAAAGGGCTTCTCTTTTAGTAGCAGCTTTCATTTTCTAGCTCTATAATGTTTTATAACTCTCTAACCTTCCCAACTCTTATCGATTAGAGATACTAGAGTCCCTCAAGTACTTTTCAGATTTCTATGCTTGTAGAGTGCCCCAAAACTAGAGTTACTTCTTTGTATTGCATAGAACTAAGGTCATAAAATCAAAGTTGCCGATAAACTTTACAGATTCATCCAGATCCTGCTACCAGATCACTTTGAGTGACTGCGTTGTTCTACATAATGACATGACAAACATCAGAAGAGAATTACTTTATTCTTATACCTAATTCATTCAGTGCTTATTCAGTGTTTGCCATATGTCAGACACCATGCTGTGCTTTGAGAAAGAGACAAGTAGAGAATATCATCTTTAACATGCTAAGAACGATTTCATTTTCTGTCCATTATGATATCTAGGATATTTGTATTCAAAGAAGATTTCTAGTGAATTAAGTTTTCCATCGCAGTAATTTGTGTCATCACACACATTTATTGAGCATTGAATATATGCCAAGAAGTCACAAATCATTGTGGTAGGTCTGCATAGGTCAGACAGAACCATCTTTATCACAGGGAAAAAAAGATTCAAGATTGTCTCAGATGTCTTTTTACTTTGAGGATTGAAGAGGAGAGCATCAATACTTTTTTTTTTTTTTTAGCAAATCTGATGCTTGTAAAACCCAGATATTGTTGATTTGGAAACCAGTTATAAAGAAATAGAGCAGAGCAGTAATAACCTGGTTCTGGCTAGAAGACAGAGAATACAAAGGTATGTATTGTGCAGTGCAGGGCACAGATAAAGTAGATAAATTATCTATTAGATTATATAATAAAACAGATTACATAAATGTATCTAATAAATTTTTTTTAACCTAATGATTTCTTAATTTTGTGGGCTAGTTATGAAGAAGGTAAACCCTGCATAGGACAGGTTAATCTAAACATTCCTTCATGACCCTTACACACTCCACTTATAAAATCCTTTAAGAAGAATATTGAGACATGAAGTATGCAAGTCAGAATGGTACACTAATGGCTTAGAAGAGGTAAAGTTTTGAAATTACTTTATCAGGAGCAAAAAGATAACTTAAGGATAGTTTCAAAGTTATGTTTAAATAAATTAAACCTTACCAGACAATAAGAAGGGTTTGACTGTTTCCACTGGTATAAATATAGAGAAAGAGGACTCCACATGAAACCATTGTGTATTTTCTTTACTAAAGAAAAAGTACATGTAACTTTGTACTTGGAATTTTTTAAAGGCTATTCCCATGTATGACAAAAATCGCATTTTTAAAGGTGGCTTGAGAAGCAGATTCCGCTCCCTCACTGTCAGGCAGTGGATCTAGAACATGTTGCCTAAATTCTGTGAACGTTTA